TGAGAGTCAAAATTGAATTAAACTATCCAAATTGGTGAATTTGGTCTCGTTACTTTTTTTTGTAGCCCTCTCTTTTAATTAGAAAAAGTTTAGATCTTTTTGTTTTTACAAATTAAATATCACTACCAACATTTTTTTATTAAGTCCATTATCTAAAATTTATGTCCCATAGTTTCTCAAGAATGGTACGGAATCACACCCATATGGTGGATAATGTTGTAGAAATTTATTTGGTATAACTTTCAAAATCAAAATTTATACTCGTTTCGTTTAAATAAGATGTTCAAAACATATAGTTTAATATTTAGATGTTATACGCTCGATTTTGAATCATACAAAATATATTTCAATATATAGATTTAATATCGATCGGTTTAATATCGATTGGTTTAGATTTTATTGTTAAGATTTTAATAAATGGAAATTTGAACCGATCAATCTACACTAATAAGTTAAATTTATTAGTTTCCTAAATCATAGGATCGATCAATATTTTTATAATTAATATGACATATTTTTACGGTTTGTTTCTTCACATTTATGGTTGACTATTATTTCTCAAGTACAAAATTATATAATTTCCTCGCAAGTACAAAATTATATTAGTTTAAGATATTCTATATGATATGAATGTTGATTCGCTAGATTTTAGCAAAGAAATTTTAAATTATTGATTTATTTTCAGATTTTAAATTTAAACATTTTTGTTATCTGTTTAAAATTATATAGTTTTGTAAATTTGATGATATAATAAAATATGTTGTCTGCATATTTTATGCTATACAAAATTTGATTAGTCGTTTATTTCCTGATCTAAAATATTTTATTTTTATTTTTTTTCCTAAACTATCATCTTTCTTTTCCATAAACTTATATAATTAATATTATATAATGATTTTTTATAAGTTTAGCATTATATAATGTTTCTCCATAAATTTTCCATAAATCCTTAAATATATGATGATTTTTTATTACATTTCATTAATTATATATTTAGTGTTTTCAAAAATTTCGGAAAGTATATAATTAATATTAAATATGTTTACATATGTTTAATTTTGAATTTAATTGTCCACTTTTTATGGTAACAAACTTAATATGGTTTCCACAAATATAGATAATTCATGATTTTGGTTTTTATTTTTTATTTACGGTTTGTTTCTCCACATTTATGGTTGACTATTATTTCTCAAGTACGAAATTATATAATTTACTCGCAAGTACAAAATTATATTAGTTTAAGATATTCTATATGATATGAAATGATGATTCGCTAGATTTTAGCAAAGAAATTTTAAATTATTGATTTATTTTCAGATTTTAAATTTAAACATTTTTGTTATCTGTTTAAAATTATATAGTTTTGTAAATTTGATGATATAACAAAATATGTTGTCTGCATATTTTATGCTATACAAAATTTGATTAGTCGTTTATTTCCTAATCTAAAATATTATATTTTTATTGTTTTCCTAAATTATCATCTTTCTTTTCCATAAACTTATATAATTAATATTATATAATGATTTTTTATAGGTTTAGCATATAATGTTTCTCCATAAATTTTCCATAAATCCTTAAATATATGATGATTTATTATTACATTTCATTAATTATATATTTAGTGTTTTCAAAAATTTCGGAAAGTATATAATTAATATTAAATATGTTTACATATGTTTAATTTTGAATTTAATTGTCTACTTTTTATGGTAACAAACTTAATATGGTTTCCATAGATATAGATAATTCATAATTTTGGTTTTTATTTTTTATTTATTTAACTATATTTTTTTTGTTGTCTTTAAATGTGTTTGGCAATAGGTTTGCAATCACATTTTTCTAATATTTGTTTTTTCAGGTTTGTTTGGCAACAAAGACTAAAAATTATTATTTAAATGTATAATTATATTAATCGCGCTAACTCAGTTATCAGCTAACTTATGATTATAGGGTTAAAATTGTCCAGAAGATTTATATTTATATATTTAAAAAATTTTAAACGGGTTGTAAAGTTTTCTTTTTTTTTGACGGGTTGTATATTTTATCTTTGAATACTTTACATTAATCAGATCTGGATCAAAAGATGAACATTTTTTTAGAGAATTTTTGAGAAATACCTCTTTTGGTGTACCCCTTTTTTAAAATACCCCCTTTATCTATCCATTTTCAAAAATACCCCTTTTAAATATAAAAAATTATAAAGTTTTATATAGTTTATAAGGTACTTCTATATAATAACTACTACTGGGAGATTCAATACAAATATTTTAAATTGTTCTAAATAGTTTTAAATCGTTTTTATAAGTTTTATAAGGTTTTTAAAAGGGTTTTAAAAGGGTCTATACGGTTTTTATAAGGTTTTATAAGGTTTTTATAATTTATTTTTACGCTATTTATGAAAGGTATATAAAATTTTATACACATATAAAGGTAATTTGTGTATATATTTATAAGCTTACACACATATTTGGATAAATTTCAACATTTTTAGTGGGTTTTTTGATAAAGTTTGAAAATGGGGTATTTTTAAAAAGAGGTATATGAAAAGGGGTATTTTTGAAATTCCCCTTTTTTTAAAAAGGTTGTATACTTTTGTAAATTATTTTGAGTCAACATCAACCATAATTTGTAATTGGTTTTATTTAGTCTGATGTAGGATGAGTTAACTACTATTGAAGTTTTAAATTTTGTTGACACCTCTAACTAAATATGTAATCGTATTACTAAACTACACATGTTTAAGTTAAATTTTTAAAAACACAAAATATAAATTATTTAATTTGACACTTAGATATAAAGTTTTTCCATATGTTTATTACAACATTTTATAATTTAAATTTTTAAGAAACCAATATAAATAAATTCAACTTGAACTAGATATAAGAAATACTATATATTTACCTTGATAAAATATAATTCCAATGTGACAACACATTATCTTAACGAAAACAAAATAGAGCTTGCGAATCAATGGGTTGAACGGGTTAGAAGTAATAGTAAAGTAAGTTATATGATGGAGTAATGTGTAATTGCAATACTTAATTACTAGTTACACATATACTACGGGTTAAATTTAACAACACATCAATTAAATCTTAAAATTTACATAATAATAAACATATATATTCTAATATTTTTATATATTTGATAAAATATTTGTTGGCAGTATATGGATGTTAAAATCAATGTTCAAACCTGCCTAAAAAGATATGTAAAATACAAAAAGTGCATTAACAAATTATACTCACTTAATTCTCAACCTCTTAATTTATCATTAAAAACATTTCATACATTTATTGGATCTTTTAACGTTTCAAATAATTTTCTTACATTAAAACCCAATTATATGCATTAAATTTTATTCTATAATTGATTTGCATCATTTTAATTGTTATTGTTTATAAAAAAAATGAATATAGCTATTTAGGCCAAACAAAAATATTCTATCTTACCAGAAAACATAGTCTTAGAAAACTAACTGTTTAGAAATATATAAACTGAATTCCCATGTTTAATGAATAATTTATGAAGGTGGATTTAAAGCTGATCTAAAGAACTATACCTCCATTTCACTTTAACTGATGTTTTATGTATTACTTATTTTGAAAATATGAAACTGAATGGGATTAAAACAAATTAACAGAAAATTAGCACACACACAAAATCTTTGCTGATCGAAATGACTTTGACATACAGCCGAATGAAAACCATTGTTGTCACTTTCCTAAAGATGACTTTGCCGTTGTCATTGTTGTAAATTTCATAAAGATGGTAAATGAACTTGAGGAACAATTACAT